ATGAGCAATAGGGGTTGGGTGTAAACGGGACTGCCCAGTATGGGCCAATAGGCCCTCTGCAGTTTCCTCCATTCTTATGTTCTTCTTATGTTATGTTTGCCGTGTTGTTGGTGTGTGGATTAGTGGATGTCATGTTTTTTTTACCTGACCTCATGTTTTGTAAGGTCACCCTGTGTACATCAGCTCTCTCTCAGAGCTAAGGTTCTCCATTGTTTCCCTTCTCCCTGTGTGATTTTATAAAAAAAAAAAAATATATATATATATATATATATATATATATATATATATATATATATATATATATATATATATATATATATATAATATATTAATGAATACCTTCACACCAAATTTAACCTAACCTAACCACACTTTATGTACAATTTGGCTATCGTATGAAGTTAACGACGTCCATTAAGTTGTAGTAATATAAAATATACGTTATCCGTATGCAATTTTACATAAATGAGAGGGTATTTTTGTTTAATGGGCGATTACCCTTACGCTACGTTACGCTAAATATGGATGTTACGTAATAATAATAATAATAATAATAATAATAATAATAATAATAATAATAATAATAATAATAATAATAATAATAATAATAATAATAATAATAATAATAATAATAATAATAATAATAATAATAATAAAAACAATAATAATAAAAACAATACTAATAAAAATAATAATAATAATAATAATAATAATAATGCGATATTCCTATGGAACGCTCTGCTAACCCTAACTGTGAAATCAATCACAGAACTGGGCTTCAATCAATCACAGTAGCGTCCACATATATCTGAGTGTTTGGCCACCACAGTCCTCCACTCTAAACGTTCTCGGGCTGTATTAATCAACCTCCAAGGTTTTGTATCTCTGTGGGGACTTAGTTTTTAATTTCATTCATCCACCCCAGCCTTTCCCTTCCTCTGGCCCTCCTACCCTCAACACTGCCCATTAATATTTCTGCTATTATCCCCATATCTTTTTTTTATTTTTAGCTGACGGCAATAGTGTAAGACGCCCTTCCCCTTCCCTCTGCAGTGCCTTAGAGTTTTTGGCTCGTATATTGTTCTATTAATTTTGATATATCGCAAATAGATTCATATAAAGCCGTTAAGGATATTCAGTTTGGGCTCTCTTTAATGTCTGTAAATATATAACTCATTAACTTTCAAGATATGAGTGGGAAAAAGAACACATTTGAAATAAAGAATATTTACCGTCGAAGTCACAAACAAATTCACGTTTTCGGAGAACACATTCATCACTTCTTTCTTTTTTTATCACTTATTATTGTGTATATCAAGACAAATGACACCATACATATAAAGCAACGGGAAATAATGACCATTTATAAAGAGTAGTATCAAGTGTAAACGCCTCATAGTGACACGTTAAAGTGCGCTTGGCGAAAGAACCACTCGGCTGAAGGAAGAAGCGATTTTTTTAGAATGGGTGGCCATTAGGTAAATAAGGTATATAACAAAAACGAAATACGTTGCATTATTCACTATTCTGAAGGTTTGGGATTTTTTCTTATGTTTGGTTGTTCGCTGTCAAGACAATAAGGAGACATGATTACCTACTTTTATTTCGATCTTGTACATGAACGTTGTACCATATGTTGTTAGAAGACTGCCAGTAGATAGGCAAGTTTATTTTTCTCACCAAACTACATTAGAGCAGTGAGTATGTATTATTAACCCTCTATATGCGAAACCTTCACCCCATAAGTGTTATGAATTAACTCCCTGAGTAAAATGACAAGTCGTGACTATAAAGCATTATCAAGTGGGTTATCTTCAACCCTTGAGTAGGACAATTTTACCCCTAAGTACAATGTTGTTTTACCGAAGAGAATAATTATTTTTAATCAAAAGATTAAGACACCATGCTCAAAGGCTTAAATATATTTTTTCAAAGGGTTAATTAACCCGATTTAAGCGGTTAAATTTTTTTGGTGCGGTAACATTGTATTCAGAAGATTAAGATCACACAAATCAGTGAATATAGTTCAGTCGAAGATTCCCCGAGTAATGTTTCAGTGATACCTATTTAGGTAAACACAACGAGACCGGAAATATTAAGCGGCGAAAAGAATTACTGTATTATCCTAGAGAAGCCAATAGTGTGGCTGGCATTATGTAACCTTAAATGTCACGTCTACCTAGAAGAGAGATAACCATTAATTAAAATAATTTATAATATTGAAAAACAAAATCAGCACATATATTATGGCTGGATATACGGTTTAACACCTCAGATGAAATCCCACTCACTGAGTACAATGAATTATCCAAGTGTATAAGACTTGTTATCCTTTCAAACAACACCTTATCACCTGAAGTACAGCATCTTAACTCTTTAAGAGTGATTCCATAACTCCTTACATGAGATGCTAAACCTGCGAGCACAATGAGTATAATATTTAAATTGTTTAAGTATATATTACTCCATTGAGTACGATGAAAACCCCAGAGTATAATGAACTATCCAAATGAATAATAAAAACTATATTAACCTCATAAATACTACTATTCAGTCTCTTGACTATAATGACTTTGCCCCTTAAGTGTAAAATCTCATACCTCTTGATACGATGACAGAGAGATAAGTCATCGTATTCAAGTGTTAAAATATATTAATAAAACTCAAATGCAACAAAGCATAACTATGCCACTATGAAAATAGTCCACTTAGAAATATTTTATATTTCAACTGAATCGAGAATATGCGAAAACAATCTGGGTTTTTTTCATGTTATATTATCACAAGAGGTTCACTTTGTAGACAAGCACTTGTTTTTAACTGATAAAAATAGAGTCTTACATTACAAGTGGTGAATAGCTTCGATGACTCGGAAAACCTTGTTTACAGAGCGAAGGACAGGAGAGGAATGACAACAAATGGTGTGACACAATGGTTTTACAGACTTGCATTTTACATGGGTAAATCTCATTGGTCGACGTGATCCATACTAGGCCCACGATTGGATGACGAATCAGATAACAATTTACATGATTGGTTGAACATACTGAAATCCGTAAGGAATTCCTGTTATTTTTTCATTTCTTTTCGTGTATTATCAAAATGATTCATAAGAGAATTTGGTGGGACTCCGATAAGCTAATCGTTCCAAATTCTCGCCGATAAAAGTTCTATGTAAGTACGAGCATATATATAAATATACACTATATATATATATATATATATATATATATATATATATATATATATATATATATATATATATATATATATATATATATATATATATATATATATATATATATATATATTCTTCTTTATTAGGAAATTTTAGATAAATGAAATTGAATAACATTAATTATTTCTTTGTATATTTCAGTCTTCTTCACATGCACGAGATAAATGGATAAAATAATTACGAGTTAGTTGATCCTAAAAGTAATATAAATATCAGTAAAGGATGTAAAATTGATTAAATTTATTTTGAAAAAAAAGAGGGAGTTTGGTAGACTCAGTATAACGCTGACCTGTCCAGGCTGTTGTGATGTTCACTAATCCCACAACTTGACCCAATATTATGTCATAAGACGTACAATAATTTTCAATAGTCATATGGCTTTTTCCATTAATTTCCACCTCTCTTTGTTAAGCTTATATAAAAGATGCACTTGTAAATTTTTCATCGCCTATAAATCAACATTGTCAGGCAAAAAATTTAAGTGACAATAAATGAAAAGGTTTTAAGGAATCAAGAGTCCAACGATTGTAATATGACTATAGAACAACTGTAAATTAACATATCAACGTATGCAAAAGGAATAACTAAGTATAAAATTGCTTATTCACAGTGTTCTTATTAGAAAATATTAATTCATTATCCTAAAACCAGGGTATTATTTTCTGTCTTCAGTGTGTGTGTGTGTGTGTGTGTACCACCTCACCTTTCCGTCACGCCATACATCACCCAATCGTTCATTATGCCTTTGTTTGTACGTATAGATATACAGACATACATATAATTTAATAGTTTTATCTCATCCTACAAAAGTCGTGTCCTTACTTTATTGGGATATCAAAATTAAATAGCAGGAATCACTCTTTATTTTCAATGAATATATATATATATATATATATATATATATATATATATATATATATATATATATATATATATATATATATATATATATATATATATATATATATATATATCCGAATATTGCAGCGGAAAATATGAATATGATTAGAACATAATGAGAAGTTTGCAATACTGGGTATAGTGACACAGAAAAACAAACGAATCAGCACTACGGATGTGATGGCTAGAGTAACGAGGTAAATGGTGTAAACAAGAAAAAGCTTTGGCTGTATAATTAGGTGATGAAGAGATAATGATAGAGATGTTGATAGGAAAATTTTAAGGTTGGAGTGACAGGGATGATGTGAATATTGATTATATGATCAAGTTGGGTCCTCGTAGGGACATACAGTCTTGAGGATGTGTAAAGACAGTCCGATATCGTTTGGAGTAGAGGTCTGGAGTCGTCACCTTCTTAACACGGGAGACAAGAATCAGGCTGAGTGGCTCGGGCCTGAAGAATGTGACTGGTGATGAGCTCAGTACAGAGAACCAGAAGAGCCAGCGCGTGGCCACCCACTAACACCACAAACATACCCTGGATGTAGAAACAGAAGATAGTGTTTATATAACGGGATTAAAATGAGGAGGACAATCACCGAACCCATTTGTTTCGTGATAATAAACTGTCAATGAAAAGCTTAGGTTCAAGCAAATTTCCCATTACTACACCATTAACGAGACTCTCTGTTTTATCGTTGAACAAAAATACACAATCCTGAGCAGTTAAAGATGTGATGAAATTAATTTTCAAGATACAGACCAAATTCATCCATATTTATATATATATATATATATATATATATATATATATATATATATATATTTATATATATATATATATATATATATATATATTTCATTAGCCCAATGAAGCACACAAACTTCTACATATAATCAACACCTCACCCCGCCAGGATTCGAACCCACGATCTTATAATTGTGACCGGGGAACGCTACCTCTGGGCCACCAGGACACAAAAGCAGTCCTAGACTCTGTTATATTTCACACAAGGCGTGTTCAACGAGATGGCACCGTGAACCTCTAATGGGGACTACCCGTGCCGCTTAGGTGATCAGAGCAACGTTTTACCAAATCTGGCTTCGTATCACGAGGATCCATATATAATTCATTAGCCCAATAAAGCACTCAGGTTCTAATCCTGGCGAGGTGAGGTGTTGATTATATATATACATATATATATATGTTGGCAGTACTTCTCTAGTCTGTACTCACCCCTGAAGATGTGAATTACACGAAAGCACTTTGGGAACTTGTGTTTTCTTTCTTTCCTTGTGGTTATCAGCATATACCTGGATCACACGCAACTCAGTGATTTACTTGCATATATATATATATATATATATATATATATATATATATATATATATATATATATATATATATATATATATATATATATATATATATATATATATATATTCACAAAGGGGGATATTTATATTGATTTAATGTCAGATGGGACCATAACATACAATAATAGATGATTCTTTGCTTTATGCAGAAGACCCGACAGCAGCACCCTTATCCACTACCTCCTAAGATGTCCCCACACACAACGCTTCCGTGACGCCTGCTGGACCACCACTCCACGACCCCCTGACGGAGACACGATGATGCTCCCCATACTGGCCAGATATTATGTAAATAATATTGATGATGTGTTGAAGGAATATCCTTCCTCCCATAGGCTTTCGTAAGCTCCTTTATAATCTATACATATAAAACAAAGAAGTATGTCTGTGTGTGTGTGTGTTTGTTTGTATGTTTGTGTGTATGTGTGTCCACACGAGAATCTCGGAAACTACTTTACCGATCTGTAGTGATGATGAATGGTGTTATATGTAGTGATGATGGATGATGTTATATGTAGTGATGATGGATGTTGTTATATGTAGTGATGGTGGGTGGTGTTATATGTAGTGATGATGGATGGTGTTATATGTAGTGATGATGGATGTTATAACTTCCATGTGCCTATCCAACTTCTCAAGGTCTTGAAGCTCCTTTAGCGTCTCCCTGATCCTACTATAGCACTTTGCAGCCTATTCTACATATCCACAACTCTATTACCAAACCAGTGCTTGCCTATATCCTTCTGAATCGGAATTTATCTTAATTTAAAGCCATTTGTTCTAGCTATTTCGTTATTACTGAGCTTTCTCCAGAACATCTTCCATTTTACCCTTGTTAATCCCACTTTACCCACTTCTGTGCCACACCTCATCATATCTCCCAACTCTACGCCTCTAATGAATGTGAAGCTCAAGCTTTTCTAGCCCTTTCTTCATATGGAAGGTTTCAAAATTATGGATCATTTTTGCTATCTTTCTTTGTACTCTCTCCAAAGAATCTATGTCCATTCCATAATAGGCGACGACCAGAACTGAACCGCATAATCCATGTGTAGCCTCACTAATGCTAGAAAGCTCTCAAGATAACGTCAGCAGTTCTGTTACTCAAGCAGCATTCCAGATATGAACCCAAGAACTTGTTTGCCTTGTTATGAACGTAACAAGCATTACATTGTTTTCTAGGTTTCAAGTCGTTGCTCACAAATACACCTAGATCTTTTTCACAAACTGAGTTTTCTATTTCCGTGTTACCTAGTTTATACTTAACGTTTGTATTCGTCTTCCCTATCTGTAGTACCTTGCATTTATCAGTATTAAAATTCATTTGCCAGTCTACTGACCACTCATGTAAGGTATCTAGATCTCTTTGAAGGTGTTCAAAGTCACTGTCTGAATTTATCACTCTCCCCATTTTGGTATCGTCTGCGTTACTAATCCTACTAGTTATGCCTAAATCAAGATCATTAATGAATATAACAAACAGCAGAGGGCCTAATACAGATCCCTGGGGAACTCCGCTTTTGACCGCACCCCAGTCTGACTTAATCCATTTATGCTGACTCTTTGTTTCCTACCAGTTAACCATGACCTAATCCATTTTAATACTGATCCACCTATTCCATGTGCTTCTACCTTCCTTATCAATCTCTCATGAGGGACTCTATCGAATGCTTTACTGAAATCTAAATAAATTATATCATATGACTTATCATTATCTACCGCTTCATATACTTCTGAGAAAAAGCTAAGCAAATTTGTGAGACAAGAACGTCCCTGGGTGAACCCGTGCTGAGAAGAATGAATTAAGTTGAATGTTTCAAGGTGGCTTCTGATTTTTGTAGCAATAATTGACTCTAGCAACTTGCCTATGATTGACGTGAGACTAATGGGACGGTAATTTGATGCAATTGATTTATCACCTTTTTTGAAAATCGGAACTACATTTGCAAGTTTCCAAGCTTCTGGCACGAGGCCCGATTCTAATGACTTATTAAATAAAACTGCTAATGGATTACTCAACTCACCTCTACATTCTTTTAATATTCTAGCATATACCTCGTCTGGACCAGGCGATTTATGAGGCTTCAGTTTGTTAATTACTTTAAGCACATCGTTGCCTAGTAATATTGATATTCATCAACATATTTTCTATACTGTGGGTTATATACCTTATGAACTTCTGGAAGCTGTGCTGGGTTTCCATTGTGAATAAAGATGAAAATGACACTATTTAACGTACTACACATTTCTAACTCATCATCAGTCATTTCTCCTGTAATAGTTTTAAGGGGACCTATTGTATCTCTAACCTTTGATTTATACAGTTGATAAAAAGCTTTGGGGTTATTTTTCGATTCGTTTGCTACCTTGATTTCATAATTTCTCTTTGCTTTCCAAATTTCTGTTTTTACCTGTCTTGTTAGGTTCTGATAGTAACCAAGTAAGTGATTTTCGCCTTTCTTAACTTTTCTATATACTCCTTTCTTTTTCCCTAGAAGATCTAAGAGTCTATTATTCATCCATTTTGGTTGGTTCCATATCGATCTGAATTTTCTTTTAGGGATGTGTTTATTTTGGGCATTATTGATTGTCGCAATAAATTGTTCATAAGTAGCTGCTAAATTAAATTCGGGGTTATCCCGTCCTAAGTTGACAGTTTCCGGAGGTGTGGGGGGGATTAATCTTTTGACCATAGGGTCATCCCTTAGGTCTCTCCTTAAGCTATCGTAATTAGCCTTCCTAAAATCCAGGATCAAGGCCGAATTTTCCTTCTTCCTGCCAACCCATATTATGTTAAAATATATGGCTTTATGATCACTGTTTCCTAGTTCGTCTCCAATCCCAACATCTTTTACTAGATTTTCATTATTACTGAGAACTAAATCGAGGATATTATTTCCTCTAGTGGGCGAGTTTATGAATTGATATAAAAACTATCTTGTACTACTTCTAGAAAATCTTCAGATTCATTATCGCTAAGTTGATTTTTCCAATCTATGCCTGAAAAGTTGAAATCGCCTAGAATACATACATTGTTTCTATCAGATGCCTTCTTTATTTCCTCCCATAGTAATTTACCATCGTTCCTACTCAAATTAGGTGGTCTATATATAACACCAATGACTACGGATTCACTGCCCTCACCAATCTCTACCCAAATACTTTCATTGTCGCTATTTGTTTTAATGTTTGATTTATTGCAGCTTTTTAATGACACCCTGATATACACTGCTACACCGCCACCTCTCCTTCCTACTCTGTCAAATTTAAATAGGTGATGATGGATGATGTTATATGTAGTGATGATGGATGATGTTATATGCAGTGATGATGGACGTTGTTATATGTAGTGATGGTGGGTGGTGTTATATGTAGTGATGATGGATGGTGTTATATGTAGTGATGATGGGTGATGTTATATATAGAAAAAGAAAAGTATCCCTCTGTTGTCATTGGCAACATGGAAAAGAAATGTGAACACTGCTGTGCACAGAAGTACAAAGGAGAATGTGCTGGACTGTGCTGCTCTCATGGGAAAGTACGCCTGCCAAATTTTGAAAAACCACCACAACCATTGAAGACTCTCGTCCTGGGAACAACACCAGAGTCAAAACACTTCTTGGAAAATATACGGAAGTATAATTCATGCTTCCAGATGACATCCTTTGGAGCTACCAGAGTAGTTCGTGAGCACGGATACATGCCCACATTCAAAGTCCAGGGTCAAGTCTATCACAAAGCAGGATCCCTCTTACCACTGGAAGATGAGCAGGCAAAGTTCCTCGAAATCTACTTCATGGGAGATCATGAAAAGCAGACTACTATCAGGTGTGGCAACATTCAAGGTGTCAGACATGACATTGTCCTGTCTCTCCAAGAAATGCTGCATGAGCGCAACACGTATGTATATTCATTTAAAAATTCTCTGGAAAACATGCCTTTTGACGAGTACAAAGTCAGTATCAAAGCAGACACCTTAATGCACTACAGTGAGACAATGTGGAGCCTCCTGGAGGGTGGCGCCCTATCGTGGCCTAGCGAAAGAGCCGGCCGGAGGGCGGCGATTCCTCTAGTATTTTATATAAACTTGTGACACTTGCCAGATGCTTCTGGTGTTATTGTACCTAGTGACAGCACTAGGATCCCGCTTCCTCTATCAAGGAATAAAATATTGAAATTGAAATTGATTTTTGCTGCATATACAGTATATCCTTCACGAATCTAAACATATCTTTAACTGCGTAAGCATTTGTGGTTATAGACACTAAAACCGATATTATAAATTTCGATCAATTATAATGAAATACACCTATTGCAGAGAGAGGTGAGTAATCTAGAGTCTAGGCAGCCGTACCTGTGTACCTAGGGTAGTTCATACGTGGCCAAGATTCAATATGAATAATTTTGAATACGTGTCCTCTTGAACTACTTGTTCAACCTTTAGTTTCCTAAGGATATAAGTTAATTAATAATTAAAGGAAAAATCCTTCCTTTTTGATATTATAAATTTAGAGAGTTTAGTGCCCTTAGCATTAGCCTTTGAGTTTATGCCCACTACTAGTAATATTACTAAGTTTTAATACATACATTTTAGTTATGAGTATTTTAGTGTTGAAATTTCGTTTTAACATATGAGGAAATTGTTTACATTCTCAAATACAGTAGTTTCCACTATCCATGCAAATGTATTTTATGTATGTCAAATCTAATGATGAGAAGAGAGAGGTATTACTCAAAGGTTAACACAAAAATAAGGCTTCGTTACAGGATAAAATATCATTTACGAAGGGCATTCTTTTTTCACTGGAAATTACAGAAAAAAATATAACTACAAAAACTAATGGGCATTATCCAAGACGATAGAGCTATTAGAAGTGGCATACAAAGTGGTTGTCTGCGGTTACCTTAAAAAATAATACTGTTGACTCTACCTTTCTGACTAATTTAAACTTTACCAAAAGAAACACACACACACACACACACACACACACACACGCACACACACACACACACACACACGCACACACACACACACACACACACACACACACATATATATATAAACGCTCACACAAACTACCTTCACTCACTGCCGTATTTTCACTATTACTGCAGTGAAGATGTTTTCTGTTATGGTACAGTGAAGGAAGTATTGACACTTTACCCAGAGGTTAGCGAGGGAGAGCGAGGTGCTGACGGTGATCTTGCTGGGAGGAGAAACACAGGAAGATATGTTGGGAACCATATATTTAAACCACTGGTTGTACAGTCCTGCTTCAGTCATTGAGATGACCCTGGTGACAAAATATGTTAGAGTTAACAAAAGTATATAAAAACACACAGTGTATGTGTGTGTTTCTCCTTATTTCACCTCTTTCTCTCTCCCTCACCAATAATAATGTTATAATTAAGATCACTAATAAACAGCAACAAACTTACCTCTTACTTATAGCTGGGACAAGAGGGTTGTTCTTCTGCCCTATAGTGGATAACAAAATTGGCAAAAACCTCTCTCTAGACGAGTAAAAGTCACATCTCCCTGTTAAGTCAATAATTGAAAATTATATATATAATTATATATACTGTATATATATATATATATATATATATATATATATATATATATATATATATATATATATATATATATATATATATATATATATATATATATATATATATATATATATATATATATGGGTTAAAACTGGAACTTAAACCTTAAAAAACATGTGAGAATTTTGGCGAATTGGGATAACTTTTCGTTTTTGTTGTTCAAAGTCCTTGGAAATTAATTCGTATATGGTCAAATCTGTTCTGTTTCGTGTGATGCGTGGATTACCATCATACTTGAGCATAATTATAGCTACTATATGTTAGGTTAGATTAGGTTAGGTTAGATTAGGTTAGGTTAGTGTAGTGATGGGTTGTCAGACCACAGCTTACATCTCAGAAACAGTCCAGACTTGACCCGACATTAGGGGGGTCAAGTGTAGGGTAACTCTCACGGCTGACCAAAGGTTATAAATCAGCCAGGCTCCCCTCCCATGTCACACATGAAAGGGGGCACCGGCCGGCTCTCTCCCAATATACACACGGCCCCACCTGATGACTTCTCCAGAAGATACAACTTATAGTCTCTGAAAAGGTCCAGACCTGACCCTACATTAGCGAGGGCAAATATAAGGAGACCCTTCGCCGCCGCCCCCCCGACCAGCTCAACCTGGCGGCTCGCCTCCCAATATATAGGACGTCCTAGTCCTCCCTCAGGGAGAGTCAGACAGAGAGACACACAGGGATCGGAGGAGGAGGTCCACCACAGCCGAGTCCCGCTCACGGGAGGAGAGTCATGCAGGACTTCCCTCCCCGACTTCCCTCCGGTGTCCCAGCTAAGCAGTCGCCCTCCCGACACCAGTGTTCCAGCTAAGCAGTCTCCCTGCTAGGCCTTCCCCAGGTCACGTGAGTTTTTGTCAGAGCTTTCCATGGGATGAGTTACTTACGTGGGAAGTGTATTCATTTCATGTTCGTGTCCGAAAATCAGAGTGTCTAGTAACGTAATATGATGTCCTAGTAACGTAAACATAATGTCCTAGTAACTTCGATAGAAGGTGTTATTAATGTGTCCATGTCATGTTCGTAATTAATAAAGAGTTGTAACGAAGCAGTGTTTGAGAAGTCGCCCTTAAGACGTAATAGATGTGCATTGACATATAAGATACGATAAGTGTACGATAAGTGTAAATATCTATCACGGCCACGCTACCAAAATCTTCTCTCTTTTACTCTCTTACTAAATATTCTTCCTATATATAAATATTCTTCTTGCAAGATTTGTCTTGTTATAGGTGCCCCGCCCCGCCCCGCCGTTCCGCGCCCCGCAAAGCCCCGGCCTGGCCCGATCAACCACGCCCCGGCTCCCCCCCACCTCACCCGCCACGCCTCGCCCCACCCCGCCCCGCGCCGGCCTGGCCAGCCGCGCCCCGCCCCGCCTCGCCTCGCCTCGCCTCCACCCGCCTCGCACCCTCCAGTGTGACCACCAATCCCCATATGTTTTGTCAAGTGAGTTATGCTTCGAAATCGGTGGTTAGTGTTACTTAACATTGCGATAATTACAGAGCTTCACTCAGTGTGTTTTTATGCTAGTATGATTTGTAATGTACTCTTTGATGCGTAGTGATAAATAATATTCAATGTAGTGAGCAGAGCTTAACTCCCCGACCCAGCCTAATGAGAATATTGTCGTGACGGAAACTATAGTTGCCAAACATTGACGTAACGTATAAAGTAAATATTTGTTTTTCTTTACGGATACACTTCCAACTAATCCATCATCCCTTTCGGATTGTTTCTGTCAAATGTCACACACAGTACCGCCCCATGGCTAGCCGGAATCCGACCACAGCACATATAAGAAGAGAAGAAGCAACGTGAGGAATGCAGTGTGATGAATGCAGCACCACACCCGCCACGCACCACCCCACTTCTTTCAAGTCCTACCTGGTCTAGGATTAAGAAGATTTTATATTTTTCTACTGTAGGAAGTTAAGGAGTGTGGAATGCAGTGCCACACAACGAACCCTGGTGAGCCCAGCCAGGGAGGGATTCACCACTGTGGAAGGTGTAAGACAGGACGGTCTTTGGTCTCGCCGACACTCACGTACGGAGGGCGAGCCCTGGTCCGCGGAACCTGCCTTACAGTCATCTAAGGAGACGACAGCCCAAGCAGTGGACCGGCTTTCATCCCGGCCGGAGGGGGCCGACGGCAGATGAACAGAAAATCGTCTGGAATATGTTGAAAATGATGATGTTGCAGAGAAGAAATACAGATGGAGCAGAAAAATTCATCTGGAATATGACGGAAAACGAAGATGTATAAAGAAATACAGATGGAGCAGAAAAATTCATCTGGAATATGACGGAAAACGAAGATGTATAAAGAAACGCAGATGAACAGAAAAATCGTCTGGAATATGAAAATGAAGATGTATAAAGAAACGCAGATGAGCAGAAAAATCATCTGGAATATTATAGAAACCAGGAGGAAGTGAGATGAAGTCAGATGTGGTGACACAACCTACAAAGTGCGGTATTGAAGAAAGAAAAACGTGCTATGTGAAGACAGAAGACGTCCTGTGCATACATCAGAAGGACCAATCGACTACCGCTGTTGTGCTGCCGGCATTCCTTATTTTCAGATACCAGCTGGATGGAAGACTTGAGCCATGCTGGACCCAACAAATGTACTGATGTTGTTGATGTTGTTGATGTACATTAAAAAGATATAACACCCTAACATGTGAAGTAGGAGCATTTTTTTATGTATTTTGAAGTATTTCATTCTCTGATTTTTGTTAACATGTACTACAAAGAATGTTTTTTTAAAGATTAGTCACTTTTTCTATGAGTTCATTTGATCAATGTTTTGCACTACGAAACACAATGTTGTAGCCATTTACTGACTGAGATGGATTATTATTTTGACACGGCCTGGTTAGGCAATGTAACACCTGTTTTTGTTTGTAGAATGTGATTTGCAAGTTTGCCTCGGACACTATGCTAGATATGAAGGATCTTTAGATCACTCTATGTTCACTTACTGTGTATGTATTTTATTTTGTTCTCCTGTCATAGAAGCTTTAATCTTGGCGGGAGGTATAGTAAGCTTTGTCAGATCAAACTATGCCAGTAGATAAACATACATCTCTAGGGTTATAATTTGTAAAATGTAAGGATGCATTATCACCTCAGGGACTATATTAGATACTGCACATGATGTTACTGTCTACTTTAAATGTGTCATCAGTTCTCTGAGCATGAAAGCTTTGGTCTTAGCGGGAGGTGTAGTGATGGGTTGTCAGACCACAGCTTGCATCTCAGAGACAGTCCAGATTTAACCCGACATTAGGGAGGTCAAGTGTAGGGTAACTCTCACGGCTGACCAAGGGTTATAAATCAGCCAGGCTCCCCTCCCATGTCACACATGTAAGGGGGCACCGGCCGGCTCTCTCCCAATATACACAACGGCCCCACCTGATGACTTCTCCAGAAGATACAACTTATAGTCTCTGAAAAAGTCCAGACCTGACCCTACATTAGCGAGGGCAAATGTAAGGAGATCCTTCGCCGCCCCCCCGATCAGCTCAACCTGACGGCTCGCCTCCCAATATATAGGACGTCCTAGTCCTCCCTCACGAGATTCACAGAGTGAGAGAGAGAGACACACAGGGATCGGAGGAGGAGGTCCAGCACAGCCGAGTCCCGCTCACGGGAGGAGAGTCATGCAGGACTTCCCTCCCCGACTTCTCCTCTAAGCAGTATCCCAGCTAAGCAGTCGCCCTCCCGACACCAGTGTTCCAGCTAAGCAGTCTCCCTGCTAGGCCTTCCCCTAGGTCACGTGAGTTTTTGTCAGAGCTTTCCATGGGATGAGTTACTTACGTGGGAAGTGTATTCATTTCATGTTCGTGTCCGAGAATCAGAGTGTCTAGTAACGTAATATGATGTCCTAGTAACGTAAATATAATGTCCTAGTAACTTCAATAGAAGGTGTTATTAATGTGTCCATGTCATGTTCGTAATTAATAAAGAGTTGTAACGAAGCAGTGTTTGAGAAGTCGCCCTTAAGACGTAATAGATGTGCATTGACATATAAGATACGATAAGTGTAAATATCTATCACGGCCACGCTACCAAAATCTTCTCTCTTTTACTCTCTTACTAAATATTCTTCCTATATATAAATATTCTTCTTGCAAGATTCGTCTTGTTATATTAGGTTTTGTATGAAACTTTTCATTGATACAATACAAGTTATCTATTTTTTTTTATCTACATGACCGTTTATGGCCAGTGAGAAGTTTCCAAAATGATAAATGCATAACAGTTAACCCTAATTGTAATTATCCCTATTTAGTGTAACTGACACACACACACACACACACACACTAATATTACTAATACTTTGATGTCGCTCGGAATCGTGTATGACGATCATCCAGCATCAATCAATCAATGGCTAGTGACTGGGGCGAAGGAGGTTCAGTGGAAGGATAAAGGTGGTGAGGGAAGGGAGTTGTAGAAGGAGAGGATAGATGCCGTGGCTTAAACACAGCTTGCGGGGTAGTGGGGCCGAGAGCCGTGATTGGTGGAGGCAATTTCACGCCCTGACTCGGCAATAGGAGATTAGTGGCGGCAAGTTATCTATCTGGTAATGTTGACGAGTAGATTGATTCTTCTTTCTTGGTGTTTCTCGTTACTGATGGGCGGGCTGCTATGGGTCTTGTGTTGTGGGCTAGTTATGTTGAAGACAAAGATCTTCTCTTCCTCTTCTTCCTTTTCTTTTCTTGGGTTATCCACTCTCTAGTGTCTTGGTCCTGTTCTTCCTCGTGTCCATGATGTTCGTAAAAGTTGAGGAAGTTTGAGTAGGTGATCCTGATGAGCTGAGATTCTGGGTCAACTTGTGGTTTGTTGGCTTCATGGTTCTTTATGTCTTGTTTATTCTTTCTTTTTTCTTTTTTCTTCTTCTTTTCTTGTTTATTTGTTTCTTGTTTTTTCTTTTCTTGGGAGTGAACAGCAAGGAGGGCCTCCTTGTATGTAAGTTTCTTGTCTTGGCGGATCCTAGCTATCTTGCACTGCTACCGCCACGTGGGACATAGCTTGTCAGCAGAGGAGTGTGGGCAGCCACAAGCTACGCATTTCTTCTCTTGGTTGGGGCAGGAGGTGTAGCGATGCCCAGTGTTTCCACACTTGGAGCACACATCCTCCTGAGCCTTGCACTTGCTGGTGGTGTGTCCATAACGCTGGCATTTATTGCAGTGTTTGGGTCTGCAGAAGAGCTTCACTGGCACGGTTTCCCAGGCCAGTTGAGCCTCTTTGGGTAACGTTGCATGGTGTCCTACAAGAACAGTTGCTTCTGACAGCTTTTTTAGACAGCAGAGTTGTCCCTTGAGAAGTTCGTTGATTTCTTCTGAGTCCATAAATGCTATTTCAGGGTGGGAGATCACTCCCAGCTTCAAGTCGTCCCCCTGGTGGACAATCCTTTCCACTTGTATGCCCGTTGATGTCGGTGAATTGTGGCAGTTGAAGGAATTGGCCATGTTTGGCGAAGGTGATTTTTAGGTCACCGTTCATTTTAAGGCGCTCCACCTTGATGATTCCCTCGATCCCTTCAGAGTTAAAAAAAACTATTTAATGACGAGGAAGTTGAGTAGTTTTGGGCAGGTTTCTTCAACCGGGCGCAACCGGATCAACTTGACGTCTTCGTAGAACACCATGGCTCATCCAGCTATGATACAATGCTTTGATACAATGATATGAGTTACTAAGGATGTCAGCTAGGTTGGTGGGTTTTAAGGTGACTAAAGAGGCAGATACGGGACCGGCAAAGCCGTTCACAGATGTTGCACGTGTGGACGGCTCCATCTAGTGCGGCTGGGGCGGCGGCAGCGTCTTTCCGACGTTGGTGCTTGTGTGCCTCGGTTTGCAGTCGGGCTAATTCAAAAGTATTGATACCTTCTCGTCTGGTGATCCTTCAAGCGTTACGATGTAGAGTATTCGGCTCCCAGGTGAGAGGGTCGATTTGGCACTTTTTCAGGTTCGTCTTAAGACTATCCTTATACCTTTTCAGTTGCCCGCCAGCGTTGCGTTTACTATTCGTAAGATGACTGTAAAGTAGCTGCTTTGGCAGCCTACTGTCGTCCATGCGGGTAACATAGCAAGTCCAGCGTAGTTGTTCATGGATAATGGTAGCCTCGATACTCCTACGTTGGTGAAAGTTTTCAAGTGCCTTGAGGTGTCTCCTGTATGTAACCCATATCTCATTGCCATATAACAGGGTGGGGACGACCACTGCTCGATATACATGCAACTTTGCAGATAATTTCAGATCCCTACAGTCGAAGACATGGGTATGGAGTCTGCCAAAGGCTTGAGATGCACATCTGATTCGATGTTGAATCTCTTCATCGATGTCCGCACTGGTGGACAGGTGGGAGCCGAGATACTGAAACTGGGTAACATTAGAGAGGGTAGTACTGTTAAGCTGGATGGATGGTGGAGGTGTGTCTAAACCAGGGACAGGCTTGGAGAGAATCTGAGTCTTACGCACATTCACCTCAAGGCCTAACTGTGTATACGCATCTGCATAGGTGTTCAGAATCTCCTGTAGGTCACGTTCAGTGTGAGCAACAAGGGTGGGGTCGTCTGCATAGTGAATTTCATTAATGGAAGCTGCCGACACCTTTGTTCCTGCTTGGGGTCGGATATTTTGAAAAGATCCTTCATCTAGTACTGTATGTCCACCCCGCCGGCTAAATTGGCACTAGCACGAGTAAGGAAGGCAGCCAATAACATGGAAAAGAGAGTTGGCGCCAGTACACATCCTTCTTTTACTCCCGTTTAGATGGGGAAGAACTTAGAATGGGTGCCATTGTTCAGGACACTGCCGTTCATGCTGTCTAGGAGTTGCCTCACAATGGCGATGAATTTTGGTGGGCAGCCAAAACGACTGAGGGTCCACCAGAGGGCTTCCCTGTTGACTGAGTCGAAGTCCTTGGTTAGGTCGATGAGGCCATGTACAGGTCACGACGCTGTTCTCTGCACTTTTCCTGTATCTTGCGGGCAGCAAAGATCATGTTAGTGGTACCTCGTGAAGGTTTAAAGTCACAAAGAGATTCTGGGAGGAAGTTTTCTGTCTCAGGTGAAAATCTGTTTAGGTGGACTCGGGCGATAATTTTGCGAGGTATTGACAGTAGCGGGATCCCGGGGTAGTAG